TTTCAGTGGTGCCCAGGGACAGGACAAGAGGGAACAGGCACAAACTTGACCATAAGAAGTTCCATCTCAACAGGAGGAGGAACTTATTTCCTTTGAGGGTGGCAGAGCCCTGGAAGAGGCTGCCCAGAGAGGTGGTGGAGTCTCCTTCTCCGGAGACCTTCAGACCCCACCTGGAGATGTTCCTGTGCAACCTGCTCTGCATGGACCTGCTTTGGCAACGGCTTGGAGTAAATGATCTCCAGAGGCCCCTTCCAACCCCATATCATTCTGTGATTCTGTGAAGCAGCAGATAGGTAACACTGAAGAATTTCTCCTAATGGATCCTTGCTCCTTATGCGGGACACCTTTCGGGCGTGCAGAGAGCAGTGGATTAGGGGATCTGATGGGGGGAGTGGGTTGTAATAGTAAAGAGGAAATGAGGTGGTTTTTCTAGCACTTCAGTCCCTGACTTGGCCATAGGAGCCCTCTATAGAGTGTTACCCGCTTTCTCATTGTCTGTTAGCAGTTTGCAAATCTGCAGGTAAAAGGGGTTATTGCCTAGTGCCTGGCTTCCCCTCCGGAAAGCAGGACTGCAGAGGGGTGCTGGTGGTCCCCAACTTTGTGTTCCTGCAGCAGAGAATGACCTTGCAGGAATGCATCCTTCCTTTTAGCATGAGGCTACCTCTCTGCTCCGTGATGTGGCGTTTCACAAATGTCCTGCAGAGAAATGAGTCTCACCTGGGCCCTGAGATGAGGCGGCTTTCATTGGAGGCACCACGATGATGTTCATCAGCAGCAGCACCTGTGAGATGGTCCTCCATCCTGGCACATCGGCAGGTGAGGCAGGAGGAGTCCTGCTTGGGCACCCCCGGCCCTCTGAGGGATGCCAGGAATTAGGTCTGAGGCAGCACGTAGCCCTCAGCATTTCAAGGCACAAACTTAGTGACAAGGGAACTGTGTCCCCTCTTCCCCTGTGTGTAGAGTGACCCAGCCAGCTTAGGGTTGAAAGGGTTTTGCTGGACTGGTGCAGTCACCATATGTATCGCCATGTGGGACGTGGCAACCCCAGGCACAAATACAGGCTGGGCAGAGAATGGCTGGAGAGGAGCAGCCCTGAGGAGAAGGACTTGGGGGTGTTGGTGGATGAGAAGCTTTACATAAGCTGCCAATGTGCACTGGCAGCCCAGAAAGCCAACCCCATCCTGGGCTGCATCAAGAGAAGTGTGGCCAGCAGGTCATGGGAGGGGATTCTCCCACCTGGAGCTCTGTGTCCAGCTCTGGAGTCCTCAGCACAGGAAGGACATGGATCTGCTGGAACGGGTCCAGAGGAGGGCCACGAAGATGATCAGAGGGATGGAGCACCTCTGCTGTGAAGACAGGCTGAGAGAGCTGGGGGTGTTCAGCCTGGAGAAGAGAAGGCTCCGGGGAGACCTTCTAGCAGCCTTCCAATATCTGAAGGGGGCTACAGGAGAGATGGGGAGGGACTCTTTGTCAGGAAGTGTAGTGTCAGGACAAGGGGTAACAGTTTTAAATTGAAAAAGGTGAGATTTAGATTAGATACCAGGAAGAAATTCTTTACAGTGAGGGTGGTGAGACACTGGACCAGGTTGTCAGAGAGATCGTGGCTGCCCCATCCCTGGAGGGGTTCAAGGCCAGGCTGGATGGGGCTTGGAGCAACCTGGTCTGGTGGGAGGTGTCCCTGCCCAGGGCAGGGGGTTGGAACTCGATGATCTTGAAGGTCCCTTCCATCCCAAACCATTCTATGATTCTGTGTGTGTTGTAACCCACCGTTATTGGTACTATGTGTGAAAAGGAGTAAAATCAACCTTAGGAGAAAGAGCCGGGGGTGGGGAGGGTGAGGTGGGGTGGGGGAAAAATTAAAAAAAAAAAGGAAAAAAATAAAATAAAATATATATATATATATATTAAAAAGCGGCGTTAGAGGCAGTGTGCCGTGCCGCGGACGGAGCACCAGGTGGCGATGCTGGACCAGCTCTGAGGCTCCTGGACCACTTTCGGAGCATCCTCTCTTCTCCCTCCCTCCAACTCGCCCTGGCCCCCCCGCACAGTCCGGTGGCCACCGGCCGGGAAGCCCCTGGGGATGGCCCAGCCTGGGGCGGGGACGGGCTGCGGTGGTGGGATGCCCTCTGGCTGGGGAAGGTCTGCCCTGTGCCGTGCTCGGTCTTGGTGGAGAACAGCTTGGGAGTGAGGGTGAAATCACAGAGCTGGGCTGGATTTGGTGGCCTGGTGGGGTCGGGACAGGGTGACTTCAGTGATGCTCAACAGATTGGGTGCAGAGCTCACAGGGGCTACGGCACAGGCAGCTGCAGGAGGGAAAGAACAGGCTGGGGGTCTCAGAGGAGAAGCGTTGGGGGGGGTTCCTCTTGCTGATGCCAGGGTCTGAGTTTGTCCCAGGGTCTTAGCTCTTCACTTGTACTGACACATGGCAGTGCTTGGACTCTGCACATCTCGTGGGGGTTGTGCAGTTCTTCTTGCTCCTGAGGGGATGAGGAGGTTTCCCATGGCTGGGCTGTGGCCAGAGGGGACTTTTCAGACCCACTAGAGGTCCTCCTGTCCCTGGGAAAGTAGGAGCTGGGCACAGCTTTTGGAGCACAGCACAGGGGTGTGCAGACTTCTCTTGTCCCAGGAGCTCCTTGGGGTGAGGTGAAGAAAGCTGGGTTGCAGAAGTGGTTTTGCTTTACCCAGCCTGAAAACTTTTAGGCCACTGGGGAGCTGTTAGAGTGGAATAGCTTCAGCTGGAGAGGCTGAGGACACCCCTCCTGGAATGTCCCTCTCCCTTGGCAGATGGATCACCCACACTGAGGGAGAAGATGCCAACTCAAATATGTGCTGTGACAGGAGAGAGTGATCCAGCCAATCTCTCATCTGCTGAATAGCTGAACAAAAGGATGGAGGGGACCTCTCACATGGCTGTGGTGTTGGCATGCTCCTGAGCAGAGCCCTGCAGCAGAGGAGCTACTGCCTTTTGGAGGAGCTGGAATCACTCTGGAGAATCCAAATCCCCTTGGACCCTCTGTGTCCCTTGCTACACGCTGAGGGAAGCACATCCATCATACCTCAGCATCTCCCTTAGCCAGACCACAGCTTGTCACTGGGCCTTCTCAACATCATCCTGGGATCATCCTGCGGGGGTGCTGGATTGACATATCACTGCAAGGGTGGGGACAGCTGGCCATATTGACACTGCTCTGCCTAATCTTCAACCCCTTACCTGGCCCTTCCAGGCTGAAAGCGTGGTCCTTGGTTTCCTCACAACACGTTTTCTCTGTCTTGTGCTGGTAAGGCCTCTTCGTGTGCGTGGGGTCCCCCTCATCCCCATGTGCTGGAGGAAATCCTGGGCTCTCCAGCCAGGCCCCCCACCCCAGAAGATACTCTCACTCCACTGTTGCTCTTACCTCTCACCTCTGCACTGCACATTGTCTTTTGACACGCTGGGGGAAATGGTAAATACTCACTTGCCCGTGCTTCTGCAGGATACCTAATCAACTTTATTCACAATCACAGTTATCCAATTTTTCACAATGAGTTATTCTTCTCTTTAAACAGAACACAAAACATCTTAAAAGTAAAGCAATGAAATGCAAATGACACAAGAACACGGAGGTACATGGGAACCTACACCAGTCAAACAAAACAAAAGGTTAGGATTGTTGTTACTGCTTTTTTTTTCTGTTTTTTTGGTCTCCTTGGAGAGAGCCTGGCTCTCCTCCCTCACAACCAGAGGCCAGGTTTGCCAGGAGCAGGACTTAACCCCGATTTTTTTGAGCTCAGATGTTGGGGGATGCGTTCAGCTTCTGCTAACTCCTAGAGTTTGGTCCATAGTAAAACGAACACAGTTATATATTAAAACACTCTGAATTTGAAAGGTGAAAAGGGAATTCACACCACTGCACTGGTACCCATGGACGGAGTTTCTTGAAAAATAAAATGTACCCCTGGGCTTGCCCTGCGTGGAGGGGAACCAGTCCCACTGGCGTGGCGAAGGCTCGGGAGGCTGCTTATTGCACGTTTCCCCATATCCACTGTTTCACTGGCACCTCCCTACCCCTCAGGTGCCGCCTTTCCAAAAATCTTTGCACAGGAGGTTGTGTCGCTACTGCAACGGGCTCCCTGTGCCTGCCGGTCAGGGCTCTGTCCTCAGGCGGGCA